TATTGAAATAACGTCTAGCTTTCCAAATGTTGAAAATCTTATTCATATGCCACATAAATTTTGAGTCAATTCCCTAAATAGGACTAAAAAGTGGCAAAATTGCACAAATAGGACTACATTTTTTAAATTCCCTTAATAGGACTATTTATGTGTGTTTGGACAAATATACCCTTGTAACTTATGAAATGTTTTAATTAATAATAAAATCATAAAAAAATTAATAAAAATCGAAAAAAATACTAAAAATCGTAAACAAATAATAGAAAATTAATAAAAAATATTTTTTAAAAAAATAAAAAAAATATTTTTTAAAAAAAATAAAAAAAAAATAAAATAAAAATAAAATAAAAATAAAAAAAATCATAAAATTAATAAAAAAAAACATTACCACCCCTGCCACCCCCAGCACCACCAGCTCCCATCACCGGAGAAAAATATGCCAACATTTTAAATAATTCCATAATGATGGCATATTTAATGAAAATGTTGGCATATTGAAGAGTAATTATGCCATCTTTTTGGCATTTTCAGAAAAATATGGCATTTTTTACCAAAAGTGGAAGAAATTTCACCAATCGGAGGTGGTGGTGCTGGGAGGCGGCGGGAGGCGGTGGGAAAGGTATCCATAACTTTTTTCATTTTTTATGGATTTTTACTATTTTTTATTATTTTTTTAAAAAAATTAAAAAATATAAAATTAAATTTTTTATTTTATAAATGGTTTATAAATTTTTTATAATTTTTTTACGTTTTTTAAATATTTTTTACGTTTTTTATGATTTTATTATGAATTAAAGCATTTCTTTATAAATTAATACTCTTAGGGGTATTTAGGGTAGAAAATCAATGTTTAGTCCTATTTAGGGAATTTTAAAAGTAGTAGTCTTATTTTTGCTTTTTAGGAACTCATTAGTCCTATTTAGGACAATTTCCGATAAATTTTGAAGTATTCATTTTGTGCCTCATACTCAAAAGATACTGAAACACGACCTTTAATTTATGTACAATTTTCATAGTTAATAGAATAAGTTAGTACTCCCTCCGTCCCGCTAAGATTGTTATATTTTACTTTTTCGGAAAATCTCATAAGATTGTCTCATACCAAATTTGGTAAAGTTTGTGTGACTCTAAAGTATTCTTACTTTATTCTTACTTTATCAATTTAATATCAATCATACAAACTCACTTTTCTTAATAATCGTGCGACCTTTTCTTGTTCTAATCTTAGTGGGACAAATGTAGTAATACTTAAACTAAGATAATAAATATGGTAATTGTAAGAGATATGTTACCTCTTACATCTCACTATTTGTTTTTCTAATTTTTATGAGAATTATTATGTTTGTTTCGTACTAAAGTTGGTGATATTTGTTCTGCTTTAAACGTATTCTTATGAATCATACTATCATAATCAAAACTAATCTCATAACTACACTTTTGTTATAATATATGTGTGTGGCTTGCACATGTTATCCCATAGATAATACAACATCATGATCAAAGTGGTATTAGTACATAGTTATTGATAGAAAATATGTTATCCTTGTCATATTACTCCCCCCGTCCCAAAAACAACTTCCCACTTTCCTTAAATGGATGTCCCAGAATTAACTTTACACTTCAATACTTTTCTTATTTGACAAATTATCTACATCAAAACAGTGCCAAATAGTGTCAAACAGTGTCAAACAGTGTCCAAACAGTGTTTAAACAGTGCAAAACAGAGGATTCCACAGTAAAGTCAAATTTATTTTCTTAATCTGTGTGAATGTCAAACTATGAAGTTGTTTTTGGGACGGAGTATTTTTTAATAAAAATAAATTGTAATAATATACAATATTTACATTATCTTATTAATATCATTACCCAAAATTATAAATATATTAAGTACTTATAAGTTAAAATGTTAATATTTATGATAAAGTGTGATTAGTGATAAATTAAAACTTACTCGTATTACATTTAGTAATTATGATATTAAATAAAAACATTTAAAGTTATAATTTGTAACGTTTAATGAACTACATATTAATTTCACATTTAATGTAACTAAGACTTCTGTGTGGGTGGAAAATAGTTTCCTATTTTCTTTTCCACCATAGTATCTTTGTATATATAAAAAGATAAAGATAAAGATTACACTACAGAAGTGACAAATTGAAACTGTGTATCCAGGAAAATGGGAAATACCGCAACAAGAAAAAAATGCTCCCTCCGTTACCAATATAACTAAATAGTATGGATTTTGAAGTTTGACGAATTAAAACTAAATTTGTTAATGAAAATATTGTAAATAAGAGAGAAAGTGAAATTTATCTAATACGTAAAATATTAGATATGTCTATGAAAAACTTCCACTATTACTACTCCTGAAATAGGGTGGAAAAAATGTGAATTAGTAACTTTATTAGTAATATTTAAGAAAGAATATTTTAGTCTAATATGTAAGAGAAATTTTCAAAATAGAAGTAAAACATTGATAAAATTTTAAAATATGAGTGTCATACTTTGTGACGATAAATATGTCCACCCTATACCAATGATACTATTATTTGAGACGGATATATATTTGGTTATAGATTTTTTAATTTCTAGAAGTATTACTACCCAAAACTTTAAACACAAAGATTCAATGAATATAATTTTATAGCCACTATTGGTTGGCTAATGGCCGGATCTAATACTATTGGTCCGTTATACTCGAGCATGTGTTTGACCAGGCCCAGAATAAAACCCAACTAGTGGAGATTGATCCGGGATGATTTAATTACTACTTCCGTCCCAAATTGAGTTGCAAATTTGACTTTTCTTGGCCAAACAATCTCGTTTTGTTCACTTAAAAATTTGACGCCAAATTTTAAATATATTCTAATTTGGAGTTTAGAACTTTGAAGAGAATTTAATGTAGTTCTTGAATATGTAAATTTTAATTATTAAAAATTGAATAATTATCCATAAGGAGAGTTGACTTTTATTATTGGTTGACCAAAAAATGTTGACTTTGCAAAACAAATTATGATAGAAGGAGTATTTATTGGGGCGGCTGACCCATTGGTGTCCGTATTAATTAATTCATAAATTAGTCCGTATTAATTCATAAATTGAGTCAAGCCCATGTTATATTTCATAATTGGATTTTGTTGTAAACGCTTATAAATAGGCCATCAATCTCATGTACTCACTAATCACTACACTATTGTTACTACACTCAGAGCCCGTTTGGTAGCACCAAAATCGGCTGTTTTGGCTGATTCTGCTGAAATTTATGATATTCTGGCTGGAGTGGCTGTTTTGGCTGATTCTGCTGATTTAAGAAAAAAATATTTTAAAAATATATTTTATTAATAAATTAAAGAAAAAATTATATGTAAAAATAGCTAAAATGGTCCTCTACAGTAACTTCAGCCAATACAGCCAGAAAAGTAACTCCAACCTTACTTTTTCGGCTTATTACACAATTCAGCGCGCGAAAGTAAAAGTTACGTGTTTGGTGAAAAAGCTGGCTGATAAGCCTGATAAGCCGAAAACAGAGTTCTCCAAATTGGCTCTCAATTGTTGTCGTTTTCTCCATATGCTATTTTCTACCAATAACTATAATGTAAAAATTGTCTATAAAGATTGTGTCGCTTTAAACAGCATAATTAGAGTTATCTATTCGAATACTCATCTATTAAATTATATAAATTACACTTTTTTTGTGCAAATAAATTACATTTTTATTCAATGTCTATATTCCATCATATATTAAAAATCATTTCTTTATACACAACCTTCTTTACTTAAACCAAGCATTTCAGCTCAACTGGTTGTGAGGTTATCGTGTCTAGTGGGAGGTCTCGAATTCGAACCCCGCTAGCTAGACACACAAGGGTTAGAAACTCAATCGAGTGAGTTTCAGCCCTGGTTACTCCGGGGGCCCTCCCCAAGACCCCCTGGAGAAAAAAAATCAATTGAAAAAAAAACCTTCTTTTACGTAAAATAGTCAAACATTGTTATTACTAATAATTCTCCGCAAAATGTTACTTTCCTTTTGGGAATTGTGATCGAGGTAGTAAATATTCAATGCAATCAGCATCCTTTCCAAAACTCAGTCTCATACTCTCATACCAATCCCGCATAGGCAAAAACTATTGTTAAAAACAAGAGAATGTTAATGACGATATATATATTGAGCAAAATATCAAAAACACACTCATGTTTGTGAAGAGTATTTTTTTTGTCTATATACAGACATAACATATTTTCAAATACGTTATGTCTGTATACAGACAAAAAAATACTCTTCACAAACATGAGTGTGTAGGTGTGTGTATGAAAAATGTGTACCAATAGATTTTTTGGCAAAATATAACTGCCGGAAGCCCTATACTCCGATACAATTATACACATTAGTATATATATAGGGAGCGGTTCCGGTAAGAACAGATCTTAGGAGAAAAATGAGAACGAATCTGGACCGTTGGATTGTATTATGTGGAACCAAATTGTGCATTTGGTGAAACTGAAATGTACATTAAATGATATTGAAATGTGCAAGATAAAAATTTAAACTCAAGTGTGCATTAGATGAAACTGATATGTGCGAAAAAAAAGTACAAAAATAACATCACATCGTACTTTTTATTCTGCACATTTCAGCTTCACCTAGTGCACATTTCAATTTCACGTAATGCACAATTCAACTGCACATAATGCCACTCTATCATACCCTTTGTGATGCACATTTCAATTTCACAGAATGCACATTACAGTTTCATCTAATGCACACTGAATTTCACTTGAGGCAAATCTAACGGTCCAGATTCGTTCTCATTTTTCTCATAAGATCGTGTTCTTATTTGAACCAAAACCTATATATATATATATATATATATATATATATATATATATATATATATGTTTTATCATCAAAACATGACTCTATTCCTATCAAAAGATTCAAGATCATTACATCAATCAAAGGGAAAATAAATACACATTAGTATATTAATTAATGAGGAATAATTATGTATTCGTATGTATTTGTACATTGTGCCAGTATCAAGCAGTTTATACAAAATTTCTACATGTTTTGGTCAAATTATAAGTGATATCGATCTACAAAATGCATAAAAAGTGAACAAATTAAATACTACGTACCTTTTTCCATTTCAGGCGCCTTCTTGGGCTATGACAAATGAAATCATAAAACAAACCCAAATGTGTTTTAGAAACATCAGAGGTAGATTCTGATGTACACATAGTTTTACCCATTTTGTGTATACTCTTCTAGTTACATGTAACTTTTGAATGAAATACTTGTGTACAAAATGTATACACAAAAATGTGTACAAAATATGTACCAAACTACTTTTGTCAAAAGTTAATCAAGAATCAGGGCAAGGAAGCATGCCTCTTGAATACTGATGAAGATTTTTTGAACATAAGTAGTTTCTTCAACAACTTCACCATTAGAAACGGGGAAAGCATCCCACCACCACCAACTGCCTTCCTCCTCTTGCGCATTTCCATCGCCGCCGCCGCCCGTTTTTCATTCGCCGGAGGAGGAGTCACATCCGGCGACCACCGGGGTTCTGAAACGTCGTCGGTATGGAATCCCGCTGACCCACTACTCCCGTGCAATTCGTCGTTGAAATCCTCCCACAACACGTCCATCCCCTCATCCGCGCCGCTGAGAACTTCCGACCCGGGGGAGCTTTTCCGGCAGCCGGAGTTCATCTCCGACTGAGAGGGAATCATCCACAGATCTAGAGATGATGGAGTGGTCATCAGGTTGAGGTGGACGGAGACGCCGTTAGCGGCGGTGGGAAGGCAGAGAGTTTCTGTGACCATTTCTTGATCAAGCTAAAATGTATTTGGTGGTAGACTTTGAGGGTTAATTCGAAAGAGATTGGAGTGTTTATTTATATGTACGTAAAGGAGGTCTTTGTCAAACAATAAATAAAAGGGGTGTGATAGTCGCCGGATTGTTCGGATAGCATTATGTACGTTCTTTTAAAAAAGTTGCTCCAAAAAGAATGAAGAAGAAACTCATGTCTTACCAACAAAGAATCCTACCTAAACTTTTTTCACCGGCGTGGGAATGTGGCCCAACTTTAAAGTTTTAAAGTTGAAAAACTTTAGTCTTTATGATTATGAGAATATTTTACCTTTTACTCGATTTAAAGCAAGCATACTCCAATAGACGGTCTTGTGGTCTGAAAGTTTGATCTGATCTGATCTGATTTGTTAAAGTCTGGTTCGATCTGTTAAATTTAAGTCTGATCGAATCTAGTTTAGTTTAATTTGAGACTGCAATGGTTCAAGTGAAAAACATCCTAAGATATGAGTAAATCTCCATCTCTATAAAGCAGGTGAAGTTTAGGATACTCTTAATTTAAGAGACCTACTTAAAACTATTTTATGACATATCTACTTAGCCATTTGGGTTCAATTCCTATTGACACCAATGCATTGAAGCATGCTAACCGCATGAGTGTTGTGTTAGACAAGGCCTTAGGCTCACATGTTGATATCCTTTTTTGCAACTTCCATGTAAGGTGTGGTTCAAGAGAGACTAGTTTGTGTGGACGGAGACGTCACCATAGATGTTTGTTTTACCGGGTTAGTTGTTTTACTCGGTGACTCGGTGGCTGATTTCGAATTTGAGTTTTGGATGTTCAATGCTTTTTAACTATGAATTTAAGGTGTAATAAATAATTATACATAATTTACACATATATACCAACATGTTTTTTAGAAATTTGGGTGTTCATGTGACCCTTTTGAACATGAGAGACTGTTTCTTTCTAGTTGTACGAAAACTTTTTCATATGTAACTAATTCCTGTATTTAAAAGTAACCGTCATTCAAAAAAACGGTACGGAGTATATTTTTCTCACACTTATGATTAGGATTTGTTTTAACTCGGTATGTTCAGTAGTAATTATTATTATTATTACTATTACAGAAATCCTTCTTATGCACACTTTTTCTGTACGTACTCTTATATACGTCGATGTGAAGTTATTCTTTTTGTCATGAATAACCTATTTACAAACTAAACACATGGAGGTTATTATTATTATTATCGTTACTACTACGGAGTTATTGTTTTGAGCAGAGGTTTGAATGATGAGAGATCCAGTCAATCTCCATTGCTGGCCAATGATGACAAGTGTGGAAGAAATTAATGTTGGGAGTACAGTGAGAAGGAAAGAACAAAATCCTAATTACACGTACACACATGATACTTCTTTGTGTGTACGAAAATATTTTTGTATGTGATTGTGCATTTGGTGTTTAAAGCTTTAAATACTTGGACACGACATTATTCTATCAATTTTAATTTGGCATCAAGAGTAAACAATATTTGTCCATAAGTCAGTCAACATTTTGACATACAGTACCGATTGAATTGATTAATGTTGGCTTAATCACTTGTACCAGTTATGCTAATAACTTTAGTGAAAATAACAAAAATAAACAGTAATTAATCATATACTATCGTATAATAAAGAAATAGGAGAAGTGGAAAGAAAGAAGATTGAAGAGAAAAGGAGGGAGAATCATTTGTTGTGAATAATAGAGGAACAAATAATATTGAAATATACACCGTGCTCGATACCAATTGACGTAGTTCATCTGGTGGATAGAGTGTCACAAGGGTTAGTTCAGGTTCGATTTCTAGCAATGGCTATGAGTGGTTATTATGCAAAATGCATAATGCCTTGTAAGTATCTGGGTCATAACTTCACTCTTTATCTATGGATCTGTAATTAAAGTTCAATTTACATCATTTCAATTAATTGTCCAATCGGTGTTGAGGGGTCATCGCCGATGGAGTGTCATCCTTTTGCAATACGGTGCAAGCAGGAGCTAGCCTATGCTACTCTGTTTTAAGAGCAATTAATCTACATGAGCTGATGAGCCAACACGAATCAGGTTAAATTTTTCACAAGCTTATACAATTTTTGCTATATTCCTAAATCTTTCATTGCAAGCTAATTAATATCTCATAGGAACTTAAGATATGAATTTTATTTAGATGTGTATCAAAAAGAAAAATATTCATTGTCAATCAAATAATAAACTTTAATTATTCGGTTTTAAACATTTAATGTTCAGAACTTTTTCTCAAAAGATTTTTTTTTCATTCTCATCACACATTTGACGTACAAAAAACTGTTTTTGTTAATTTTCTTTTCAAAGTGTATGAAATGTTGTTTAAAGTTAGATAAGAATTGTTTTTTTTTTTTACAATTTGAAGTTTTCAACCACAGAATCATGGCAGCTTCTAATGCAACTTCCGCAGCTTTTAAGGCACACATCAAAAATTGATTTGATAAATCAAATTTGGACATTTGGGGCTGTGATGGTCAAAAGGTAGGTTTGGACATTTAGATTTCCCTTCCGTTTTAGTAAAACTAAGATACTGATTAGTACTAAATAAAACTCAAATTATATTATTGGGTAGTTTAATGTTCTTATACTCCGTATTAAAAAATGTTACGGTATAATAATTAATCAATTTCAACAATTTCAATTCAGCTTAATAAAGAAATATTATCAAATTCATAACAAAATAACATATGATTTGATTTCAATTTTGTTCTGCAAAGGGAAAGGGAATTGAAATGCCACCTTCGCGAATGAGGGTGAAAATATCCACCGGAGTCCCATTTCTTCACTTAGTTGCATGTATTCATAAAAAAAAAAGGATGAGATCCCATCTCTAAGGGTTCCAGCACCGACTAGACAGTAAGCTGAGAGGATGTAAATTAGACTTCAATGACAAACTGGAAGATATAGAGTGAGGCTCTGGAATTGAACCTGAGACTTATCTCTTGTGCCACTCCCTATCTACCAGTTGAGTTACGCTCACCGGCAATTGCATGTATTCATCTAAATATGTGAATGAGTTCCAAACTGGGTATGTAGGATCTACTTTTTCTATCAAACCCCCCTTCATCATTTTTGTTTAAACACTTAATTAAATTGTAGGGCATTGAATTTCAATTTATTCCAAACAAAAGGATTTGATTTGTTTATTACTGCATCTTTTCTCTTCAAATGATTCCAAACAAAAGCATTCGTACTTGAAATTGAGTTGTTTGAAGAGTCAGATGAATGGTTGAGTCAGATGAATGGTTGAGTCAGATGAATCAATCAGCTTATTTCTTCTTTAAATTTAATTTGATTTATGAACATTACAAAGCAGGTTCATAAAAAACCACAAAACAATGACATACCCACGTATTATACAGTAAAATTTTACCCCTAAAGTTTCAACTACAAATCTAGATATTATTGAAGTCGTTGAATTATCGAAGTTTTCGTATGATTACCAAATATTTCAAGTTATACTTCGTATTACATATTAAATTAAACATGATGCAAAGTCGTGTTTATATATTTTCAACTGTACCTCAATGAATACACGCAAATTAGTTCAACTCATTAACATTATGTTCTGAAGAGAAAACCAAGGAATGAATGAAAGAAAATTTTGCGAGTTTCATTTACATATTAAATTAAACATGACGCAAAGTCAAGTTTCTGTAGTTTCAGCTATATTTTTGTTGGTTTATAAGTAGAGTATTATTATACGTAGTAGTTGTTTATGTGACGATTTAACTGTATAAGAAGACAACCCCGTGGATATTAAGGTGTAATTATCCGATGTTAATAATTTACTCCGTATTTCATAATTTGCTTAATGAAATTTGTGAATAATACTCCGTATTGTAATACTCTCAATCGAAAGAGACGTTTTCTTCATCTTTTAAAGGAAAATACCTCTTTAGAAGCATCATAAAGTCTAAGAACAAAATCTTTTGAAAACAAAGCTTGATTAAAGAGCTTTATTTCATTATATCAAGTAATTACCTTTAAGGATGAAGAATGTGTAGAATTGAATTGCCACCTTCGCTAAAATTGATTTCAATTTTGTTCCGCAAAGGGAAAGGGAAAGGGAATTCAAACCCAGTTTCATCATTTTTGTCTAAACACTTAAATTATAGATATAATTCTTGCGGCATTGAATCTCAATGATTCCAAATTAAAGCATTTGAATTGTTTATTTTCTTTTCTCTTCCTTGAGCATATTTTTTTTCATTTTATTTCCTTAATCGTTTGAATATCTTTATTCCAAGGTTGAGTCGTAAAGCTTTTTCATTGGCTCATTGCATACAAGTCATTTGTAGAAGTGCTCGCTTCAGCCTAGGTTCATCTATCTAAGGCAAAAGTTGTTGGTTTGATTCTTACTAGAATTTGAGTGGTATGAAGAGACCTTTACAATATTTGAGCTGCTGAGTGATTGTTGTTGTATACAAAATGTGAACACAAATTGTGTTCTGCTTATGTAAATAGACATTTTGGCATAAAATTTTACATTTTTAAACAAATTGTCTGTATACACAAACAACTAGGAGCTAGGGGATCATGTACAAATTGTGTCCTAATTCTCTGCACAAAAAGAATTTTTTATTTGAGCTACAGGCAAACCTGTAGCGCTAAGGGGCGGCCCTAGGGGGTGCAACATGGGCGACCGCCCTAAGCCCAAGAAAATAGAGGGAACAAATAGGCCCAAAAATATTTCTTTGTATATAGTGTGAGTAGACTTCTTTTTTAATTTTTAAGCTCAAATAATTGGCTCAAGGTTTAATTTTTAAAATAAATGTAAAGTGACATGTCTCTCTTAATTCTCTTCGGATTTCTAAGTTTTATAATCATTTTAATATCAAAATTACCAAGTTATGTTAGGCCTCCCAAGTCCAAAATTCCCAATTTGCAAAGCCCATCCAAATTAATTTGTTGAATTCAAATCTCAATATCAACAAGAGTAAAGAACGTTGCAAAGCGGTGAGTGTCTCAGTTGTTTGTTAATAATTGAAGCCAATCAATCGAGGAGTCCAAACGGCGGTCGGTGACCAAAAAACTTTTTCTTTCAAGGCTTCACACAATTCATTTG